GAAGTCTGAAATATATTAGCATAAATGCTTTATAATTTGGATTTAAGTTTAGATATTTATATTTATTTTGTAGTAGCTGCAAAATATATACTATATTTTGTTTCCAAACTTCTAAATTAATGTATTTATGGTCGGTCCAAAATTATTTTTTACTTTGAGAAACTGTGAGTATTCTTATAAAGAATATAATTTATACCATAGGGGTGCGCAGACATCATTTTATTTCTGGTATAGCCTGTAATACAAATAAAATTAAACCACATAATATACAATATAAAGTGATCTTAAAATAAAATGCTAAAATAATATATTAAAAGAAAAGAAAAATGTTAGTTTGTATAATTTAATAAAATATTAGGAATATAAATGTTTATGCATAATACTAAGCGTGTCTCGCATGATAGTAAACCTCATTTTTTTTAGTTTTATTAATTTTGTTTTGTAAAAGTCTCTGAGCAGAGGCAGTAGGTTACATATGCCCCAAAACTAAAATTTAATTAGTATGAGAATATATAATATGAAATTGCTACTTTCATACTAAACGATGATATTGCAACAAGTTTCTCCGAAATTTTAGCAGCTTGTATAATATTTTTAACACTACCAGTAAATATCAAAACCACTGAAAAGTCCTTTTCAAAATTAAAAATTATAAACAATTGTTCAAGAAATGCATGTTCCCGAATTGACCTTCAAACAGTGTTATACTCAATATAGAAAAAAACCTCAGTTCAAAGTTAAAAACCGACAGATTAATTAAAAACTTTACAAACCTGAAAGCTAGGAGGATGAAATTTGTTTTGACTATTATTGTTGCCGCCGCAACATAACATTATTACCATTTACTATACATTTATACATAAGGATTAGGGCGCTCTCACACGCACACACGCACATTACAAACACATCATTATTATTATTATTTATCTGTTATTTTTGTATTTCCAATTTTTGTGTCAGCTATGAGTTATATTATAATATGCTAATTAGGCTAAAATTATGCGCGACGCGTTAAAGCCCGTCGGGTCGTCGGTTCATCGGCTCGCGAGAAAATACACGGCCGCCCGAAAATATAGTCAGTTCAGCACCACGACAATACGTACGATGTCGTTGTCGACGAAATAAAATAATAGAGTTTTGGCTTTTTCATATTGTGAGGGCGCTAATTGCCCCCAATAGCAGTGCAATAATACTTTAAATTGTATACGCTAATCGTCATTTTTTTATTATATCTTATTATTATATTTGTATGTTATATTTTTATTGCCATAGTCGTGTGCGCTAATCGCCGCATCCCACGAGATACATAATATGTGCATTTGTATTACGTGTTAATTTTTTATATTGTGCTATATTGTATTATTATTAAGGTACAGGTTGCTGCCTACTATTGTTGTTTAACTATTGTTATTTAGTTGGTTGTGCCAGAGCGGCAGTTGTTATTTATTCTATATCTTATATTTTGTTTTTTATCCTTTATTTGTGTCACTGTGATTTATTTAAATCACCACACATATTATTAAATATTATTTTTTACTGTTGGACCAGCAATGTCAATATTATCGATATATACTTATTATTATTGTATAGCAAGCCAGAAGGGCTGCTAATGCCATTTTTGATCATTTGATCATTTTATAAATTTATTATACGAAAGTTATCCGTTATACCATTGTTACCATTTATTATTTACACACAAACACATACACGCATACACTATACACATATAACACATCATTACGTAGCTCATCAGTATTTGCTCGGCGACCCCGTCCACTGCCGATCGAGCTATTTTCATCACTACTCATTTACATAAATCACCGGGCTCCTAATCATATAAACACTCGGGCTTTTAGATAATACATTTTGGTGACCGAGTCCACGACTTACTATTATTCGTACTCGGCCCACACAATATTATAGTTTTACCATGTCTAGGTAACTGTTGTACTTATAATAATACTTATAGGACCAGTTTAAAAATGTGGAATTACAACAAAATGAACAATGCCTATGTACTATTTTTTTTTTTAATAATGGGCATTAAATAGTTCTAAGCTTTAGCCATAAGGCTAAGAAATTCAAGTTGCAGCAGTGTGGAATGTGTATATTATATTAGTTAGATAATTACTACGAACTAGATCAAAGTCGGACTTAACATTTTTTCGTCGCTAGGCATTACAACGCTGGTGCCCCGTAACCAGAAAAAATAATCCATCAATAAAAAAAGTATACATTATCATAATCAAAAACACAACTTTTATTTGTTTAGAAATTGTTTAAATAAAGATTAAAATAATACTAAAACGTTATGATAATAATGTATGCAGGTATACGTCATGTACCAAGTAAACAAATAACGAAACAAATTAATATTAACAATAAGTCAATACGTGATAGGTATTAATAATTTTGTTAAGTAAAAAGTATTATTTTTTAAAAATGTATGTTATTATTATGACCACTATATTTACTTGGCATGTTTAAAATATGAGTACCACCTACCTACTGTAAATCACTTACCACAATAAAATTCACAATTGAAAAATATTGGTAAATCTTTAATCTAAGTTTTAACTTATAGTCAAAGTATAGTTACTCCGTACTCGGGTAATATTGTTTACTGCTCATAGTTGTCTTAATGACTTAATAATAATAATACTTATATAATAATTTATTATATTTCAATCAGAGTGTTGATGATGCGAGTACACTTATTGTAATCGATTGTATATTTGTACGATATTCAAACAGGGAACATCGTCGTTTCCCAGGCGTAACTCAAACCCTGCTCTTTGAACTAGTTAATATAAATAATGAATTTAAAACGACAGTAATAACTTTGAATTACTTGTAAAATAATTTTCCAATTAAGTTTTATAAATTAATAAATACCTAATGATGTTTGTTATTGTTTCTACGGTCGTTTAATTCGAGTGTCATCAAAACTGTATTTGCATTGCTAATAATGTTTACCATAAGAGAATTATTATTTTTAAATAAATTTTAGTTTTGGTAAAAAACTTAATCGAAATGACGACTGTTTTCCACCTATCCTTAAGGCCTATTTTAACTGTATCCAAGTGTATAGGTTTAATTGATATTTCGTATACCCTGGAACCAACTGGATTATTGGATCGGAATATAAAATCAACAATTCCCGCATTTCTAGAAACAGCACGGACCATTGTGTTATTGATATGCACTTTGACATATTTTTATCAGTTAGATCAAGAATTTCATATACTTCAAATGATATATATAGTTAAATTTTGGTTCATCGTCGTCGCAGCTAGAATATCAACAATATGGATAATCAAGTATCTACCTATTTTTTCACGATCATTTTGAAAAGTAATATGTAGACACCTCATAAAATAATTAGGTTGCATAATTTACCAGAAACACCTTCAAAATTAAAAATAAATGCGTTCATTCTTACATGCATTAATCACACAAAATAATAGTGATAAATCATTTGAGGTTTATTACTTAAATATTTTCATAATATTAGAACATAATTATTGTTTATTATTTGCTAGCATTCAGTAGTATTAAACAGAAATATAAAATATTTCAGTTAGACATATTATATTTTCAATTATTAGGGCAGTGACTCAAATTGTCGTTAGAACAAATTGACAAATATGTGTGTGAAGTTGCCCCCCCCCCCCAACTTTGTTTGATAAATTCGAAAAATATGCTAATATTTTGCAAATGAATTGCATTTTTTAGAATTTGTTAATCAATATTTTTTTTTTTTTTGATGAATTTTACATATGATTTAATATTAAATTTAAGAGCAATACTAAAAATCATTATAGCATGGGTATTATTAACATACATGTATAAATTATTTTTTTTTAGTTAAAATGTTTCATTGGCTTTAAAATCAAAATATAAAATATCATAATATTTTAATGATTAATTGCAAAATTTTGAAATCACTAAGTAATTATTTACAATTAAATTGCAATATATTGATATATTTTTCGAATTTATCAAACAAAGTTGGGGGGGGGGGGGGGTAAACTTCATACATATAACATTAGTTTTTGCTATTTTTTGTTTCAGATTTATAAATGGCATTATCGAGTTTGATCGAAAAATTTCACCTCTTTCAATAAATTTGATAACTCCCCATCGTTCATGGACAAAAGAGCATTGGGAAATTATTATTATTTCGTTATGCGTCTACTTCATTGTATTAAAAATAATACATTTTTATTTTTGGCCCATTCAGATAAAAAATATATTATTATTGGCAAACCATACAATATTCACTATACCATATGCTATAGATTTCGCAGTGACGATATCTTCGTGTTTCTTTCTTCAAAACTTGTATATCAGATTTCAGATGTTAAACGATTTTTGGAAATGTCTTCCTACCGACTTAGTTGATGTTTCAGGCCAATGGACACACATCGAAATAGTGGAGTTTATGGAAAATATGAGGCTGTTACACTCAGAACTCTGCGAATTGTTGAAAATGTTTACACTTGGTTATGGTCCATTGCTTTTGGGCTTCTTCACATTCAGCTATATCAGTTTGCTTATCACTGTTTATTATATTATCAACAAGGATATTTTCTTAACCTCATCAAATGTCTGGGAACTAATATTACCACTGATGGTCCACGGACAAATTGTCATGTTTTTGATGTCTATTATCGTTTTTGTTTCATTTATAAACGAGAAGGTAACTCAAAGTGCTATTCAGTCTGTTCGCCTTCATATTTTCGTTAATTATGTATTTATTTATATTCACAGTTTTATGTTTTACCTATACATATAATATATATAATATTTTAAAATACTTACAACTTAGGTTCTATATTACATTTAGTATACAAATTATACAAAAAAATACTCGGAGTGATGATAATGTCATTTAACTTATGTAGGTACTGTGATAGAACTAATTTTTTTTTCTTAACTACAAAACTAAACATAGACAATCACATTTAAAAAAAGTATTTTTAAATTATTTTTACAGAGAATGGAGATGATATCATATCTAAGGTTATACCGAATTTCAAATTTACACTTGCACAAAAAACGACAGGTAAAATATATTTATAGTTTTATTAATAGTATTTATTTTTAGTTTTTACTGTAAAAACTACATGAGATACATTTCCTTTTTTTTATAATTTAAATGTTTCAATATTCAGATCAAAATGTTCATGAATCAAATATCTATATGTGATTCAGACAAAATTTCGGCATTTGGATTTTTCAATATCAATTTAAATGTTGTCACATCAGTAAGTAAGCTTTGGTATATTTTGTAAACCAATCATAATAGTAGGTACTATAAATTATAATTGTTAATTATGTAGCACATACTTGATATTTAAACTACTATAACTTGGTTTTTTTAAGAGTTTTCTTTTTCTCTCTCTGATTTGCTTCGAATCACCCTTTCTCTTAGTTTCAATTTTTAACAGCAAATAGCTAAGTAAATATTACAAAATCACCCAACAACACACAGCTAAAAATAAAAAATAAGTATAAAATTTACTTTTATGATTTAAAAACGTTCACTGAATTGTATACCTACCTTTAGTCATCATGCTAGTAACCCATAAATAATATTATATTTTATTATTATATACAATATATTAATATAATATTTTTTGTTGAATAGTATATAATATTAGGTAATATTAAGTGAATACTTGCTAGCTATACGTGGATATAGTACTCAATTAGTTTAATAAACGTCAGATTTAGTTATAAATAGGGAGTCAATTTAAATGCAATACAAAACAAGAAAAATGCCTCAAAAAAGTTAGATGTAATGTGTGCATAGATTAAAAAAATGCCCAAATAAATTAAAAGTTAATTTAAATGAATATAAAATTAAATTTTAATTTGTTGTATTTTGTGTTTCATTATAGCAATAGATAATCAGATGCTATTGAATATTTTCAAATAAAAAGCTTCGACAGTTATCAGCAAGTATTTTTTTGTAGCTGAAGTCATAGATCATAGGAGTAAACATAATACGTAATAAAATTAAAAATATTAGTAAACAAAATTGTTGGTATTTATTTATTCAATGTTTTTTTTTAAGTTTTTATAAAATTGTATTTGTACTTATAATATTTAGAAAAAAATAACTTTAAACCATAAAAATATATAAAAATGACAAAAAATGTTCAAAAAAATTTGAAAAAACATACATGATGTGGAAAATAAAGCTTCCTCTCATAACTCTTAAAATATTTGTTCATTGTTTTGTGTACTATAAATACAATTTAGTTACTTAGTTTCTAAATTAATTATAATAAAGATTTAATGGTTACTAGGTAGTTAAAGAAAATTAAAAAATTAAGCTATATTAAAACATTAAAATACTTAAGAATTAAAAATAATTAAAATTAAAATTAATTAATTTGAAGTCTTTCATAAAGATGAAAAAATAACTTATTAATTTAACATTTTATTAAATACGATTTTGGGTTTTTAGTTTGTTTGAATTTTGAGTACCTAAATAATAAGTATTTGTTGCTTAGTTTTTATTGTTTTTATTTGTTTGCAGATACTCATTTTGTTGATTAGTGGAATGATCACATTAATACAGATGAAAGATCACCCAATGATTTTAAAATTCAACAATGACACTATATCCTACTTGGCAAAAATATTTACTACAAAATTCAATTAATTCCAATTGAAAATTATCTTCCCTTGTAGCAAAGTAGCTTGTTTCTGTACAGTATTTATAAATTAGTTAAAGATACAATTATAAATTACATAATAATTAACATAAAAACATATATATAGTGAAGAAAGTAAATTTATTAGTAATTGATGATTCAGACGATTTAGAAAATTAAAATAGTAATTGTAATTAAATAAAAGTAAAGTTATATAATATTACTTGCACACTAATAAAATATAAATATACATTGATCTTATATTTGTATTTACTTACAATTTAACGAATATTCAAGAGCACAATTTTTTATAATCAGTACCTATTGTATACCCCACACTACTAAACGTCTATACATACTATTTTATAAACGTGGTTAGGGTACCTAATAATAGCCTACATATTTTGTTTTTCACGAGTACCAGCTAGGACATAGGGTAGGTAATCGTAATTAGTAAATTCACAATCATACACTAATAACCAGTATCACAAAGCTTGTGTTGTGCCTATATCCCAGCAAACACTAAGACATCTCTGAGACGTCTAATATACTTTATCCAAATATGTTGGTGACGTCTATTTGATGTCTAAATAAATATGACATATGTCTAAAATATGTCTATATGCAACAATTTTTTGGGTCTACACCTAACGGATATTAGACATCTAAGAGTTGACATCTACATACATCTATTACTGAAACGTCAAAGAGATGCATATTACTACAACCAACAAATATCTTAGACTCATATCTGACGTCTAAATGGAGTTAACATAGATGTTAGAATTGGTTATTATGCAACACTATTTTGGGTCTATTTCTGACATCTATAAGACATCTAAAGAGTTGACATAATGACATCTACATAACATCTAAATAGATTTGTCAGGTGTCTAGAAAATTAGTCCATATGCTGCAGTTTTGTGGGACTACTGCAGTTGACTGAAATTACATTTCTGTGAGTTGCTATAAAATATTAATCAAATAATGTTCAAAAATTAATTCAAAACTACCTACAATGTTTATTAAAATATTATAACCATATATATTAATGACAATAATAAAGATGCATTATTTAAAAATAATTATATGAAAAAAATACTAAAAATATTTTTGTATTAAATAATGATAGTTAACAACTAATTATATTGAGATCATTACAATTAATCGTCACTATGGACATTTGGGTCAATTATATTATTTTATTCTTATACTTTATGAGAAACAATATAAAAATATAATTTTGAAGTCATTTTATAAATTATAAATACCTGATATCGTGAATAAAAATAAAAATATAAGTTATAATCAGTCAGTATCGTAATGTCAATCAATTCTAGTGAGTAAAAATATTAGGTATATTATTATTATTTTATTAGGTACATTATTATTATTATATTAAGTATATCAAATGAAGGTACTTAAAAGTCAATAAAATATAATATGTATAAAATTATTGTCTACAATTAAAACTATTTTTATTTTTCTTAAGTTCCCTGTTGGATATTCGTGTGGATGCCTATCCTAATCAAATTCTTATTCTAATCTTGACATTGTGCTCTGTTCCATTTTTATGAAAAGTCAATGTTACATCTATTTTAACAAACACAATTATTTATAAAATTCATAATTCAATTGGAAAATGTTTTCAATAAATTACTCACCAATTATTATATGGTAAATGGTTGACTCTTTAAAAGGATTTTTCAAGTTATTTTTACTGTCAAAATTATAGTGCGTTGCCCATTCATCAGTGAAAAGGGTTTGAAGCATTGATGTAACTGAATCACTTAAGTTAGCAGAACACTCACATTGCCGTAATCTGGTTTTCTATATAATCAATAAGTTATTGATAAAAGTAAAGCTATTTATTACACATATTTTATTACCATTAAATGATATGATGCTGAATCTTTTAATTTTTCTTCCATTTCCACAACATCAGAAAGGTTCCTAAGAGGAAAATTACAAAACACATTTCTAAACTTCTCTTGGACACCAGTATTGCAATCTTTTAAAGTTGATTTGTTCTGTTTTAAAACATCTTGGAGTTGACAATTTGTATAGTGACTGGACTTCAACTGTTTTTCCATTAAAATGTCAATTCTTGATAAAACACCTATTTCTTAAACAATAATAATATACATGATACATAATATTATAATAATAAGGCATTACAGCTGTAGTATAGTTGTTAAGATTTTACATGATTCATTAGTCACCATTCCAACATTATTACTAACTGCAGGAGAGTGACAATGCATTAATATGTTACTTGCATTTGTTGGAGTATTGGTTAAAAGTTCAATTCCAGACATGTCATTATTGTCCTCTGCATTTGACACTAAAATAATATGAAAGGTTTAGTAAATTATGAGAATACTTGGACTATGTCAATGTATTTAAATTAGGAAGTATAAACATACTTGATAAACCATTACTTCCAAACATATCTTCACTATTATGAATTGATTCAACTTTCACAAATATTTAAATTAAATATATTAAAAAATAATTAAATATAGGTAGTTTTTTTTGGTTACATTATATATTCAATGTTATACCTGTAGGATTGGTTAATGTTTTTTCAGTTGAATGATGATGTGGGTCAAATACATTTATAGCGATTTTGATACCTAAAAGGTTTATTTAACAATATTATGCATATTTAAAAAGTGTTGGTATAACTATTTATTTTAATCAATAAATGTTGTTACTATATTATTTTTCAATACAAAACTAGTAAGTATAAGCATACTTGATGAACCATTACTGCTCAAAACATTTCTTCTCAATTATGTATTGATTCAACTTCTAAAAATATTTAAATTAAATATATTAAAAAGTGATTAAATATAATTAGTAGTTTTTTTTTTTTTGGTATCATCATACAATATTAAATTTTTATTACTTTTGATATCTAAAATGTCTATGCATATTTAAAAAATGTATATCTTTGTTTTAATCAATAAATTAATTCATTACTATTTTTTTTTTTTGTCCATGTTGGTTGATTTGGAATTGCCTTCATAAGAGATACTTGGTCATCTGGTAAGTTACCATCTAATAAGGAAAAAAAGCTTTAAATTTTGTATTTTTTTCTTTTACCTCGACCCCTTGTTTTGTCATTGGTTGTTTCACCACAATAGCTTGACTCCTCTTCAAATCTTTTAAATTTTTTTCTGACCATTTCGTAGTTACCTAAAATCATGGACACATTATAAACATTAATGGTTATTAATTATATGTAATTAAAAATCGAATTTAATTTTCAATAAATCTGTATAAAATTAACTTGAAATTAACACGTTCAATATGTTGAAAAAGTAACTAATTCAGATGAAAATTAGTTCTAAAAAAAGTAACCAGTTAGGTATTTTAATATTAGTTAATATTAGCTTGATTTGAATTTTTAAATCATTAATGCCCAGCCTCGGTGTTCATAGTATAATCACCAAAATTCCACAACGCATAGGGTTGAACATTATTTATGACGTAGCGTTTTTATTATTTGGATAACATGAATACATTTAAAGTTATCAGTTTGAGAACATTAAGTTTTTTATTTTTTATTATTAAAAATTATTGGTTAGTGGTATGCGACCAATGAAGAAAAGTTTAAATAAAAAAATTAAAGACTTGCTCAGTATAGATTAAAAAAAGGATGAATATTAGAAAAACAATTAAAAGATATCAACTTATATTTTTTTTATTAATGGTCGATTAATTATTTATGATTTTTAATTTAAGGTCAATTCAAAAATAACAACTTTAAAATAATTAAAAGAAAAACACTAAGTAATTATTTCAATATTTACAATGTTACTGTAAATGAATCACTATGTCATAAATTAAATTATTGCATCAGGTAAAATAAAAAATTCTAGTGGACATAGATATTAAGAGAATTTGTCACTTATGTAGGTATATACTTTTAAACACAAGGTATATAATTATTATCAAAGTTATGATTCATTTAGACACAAGTACACAACAGATAATAATAAGTATAAAGACAGCATTTAAATATATTTTCTAGATCACGTACTACATAGAAATTTTTTAATTAATAAAATTACTCACACTTTCTAGTGTTAAAGTTAAAACAATTCACCGTTATTTATCTATAAGCAAGACTGGTTGTGGATTAGACACAATATTATTTATGCTTCTAGAAAATAAATTAACATCAACGAATGATTGAAATAAACCCCAGCATTTTAGTATTTGATGATATTTTAAAAAAGAAAGTGAAGATGTAAGCACTCCTTATTGTGGGGAAAAATCTGATCACTCATTGGTTTTTTTTTGTTAGAAAGTTTAGGTTGTAGTTTGCCTTATTTGTATCTAGAAGAAATGTTAAGGGTTATTCTATCATTAACAATTATTGCTATTTATAAATTATCTTTAACTTTCTAAACGGTTAAATTAATTCATAGGTACTGTATTAGCCCAACTGATTATTAAAGCAGTTATGCTAATAAATAATGTAAGTGCAAAAGTAGATGATGTATGACGGTGCAGTGGCCATCAGGAACCTATGGTATTTCGGAGTCATTGGTCAAATAAATAAAATAAATAATGTGAACAATTTTTTTTTACATCCATCTGAAAAATATATTTCCTATCTGATGCGCCCCTTTTTAAGAAAAATGTGTACAAAACCCCCTTTATGATAAAAAAATCCTTTAGATCGAAAAATGATTAATCATTGGTAAATTGCATTTATTAAAAGAAAACATATTAATCCAATGAAAAACATAAATTTCACCTTACTTCAATATACAAATATTATATTGTAATTATTTTTTGTTTACATAATATTGGTCCAGAGAATAATTTGATAGTAAGCTGGTACAATTATATTTATGTTGATCAAATTGACAAACAACAATCGGCACTTATATTTGATAAGTTATTTAATAGGTCTGTGATATGTATACTACACAGGAATTCAAAATACAAATAGATTTAATTTAATCTATTTGTATTTGATATGAAGTACCAAAAATTGTTTAATTGGGGTTTTAGTGTTTCAATGGAAAGGGGGATTAAATATTATACTTGCCTTTGATGAATCTTCACGTGCATATAAAATTAAATATTTAAAAAGGCTATTGGATTCTTTTATAAAAGAATATATCGTTGGGAAGTAGATGTCATTTTTACTAAATATATTACATTAGTACATAATATAATATAGTTTCAACAAGAGGTAATTGAGTCTCTTGTTAATTTAAGTCTCTCTAATTTATGGTTATTTATTTTGTCAAATTATAAAACATATAGTAATAATACATAATATTACTTGTGAAATTTGTTTGTCAGCATTTAAAGAATATAAAAATAATAACTGTTAAAAACAATGAAAAGTTTCTCATATTTTGTATTTTTTAAGGGACCAAATCAACGAGGCACCGCCAACTAATGTTAAGTCAAGAAGAGGATTAATTTTACCCAATAGTAAAATATTTTAATTTATAATAGGTTTAGAGGAAGCATTAAAAAAAAGTTTGGTAGCTATGATGTATTTCCAAAACTGTTGATTTTTCTTAGAAAACAACCTACATTAAATTCACTTATATTTACATGCCCTAGTTACAAAAATGAAATGTTGCTATTTATAATTAGTCATTATATTACTATGAGAATGAATAAAAATGAGACAGCATTCACATAGGTATATCCAACCAAAAGCATTTGGAAGACACTACACCCCTTTGTGTCGTCTCTAACTTACCAATGTACAACATAGCAGGGTTTTGCAGGGGATATAACCACTAAGTTTTGGACTATGACAATATTTAATATATCTATATTGTCTTTTATTAGGGATCTTCTAAACAATTTGGGTTGTAAAATTGCATGTATATGAAATTGTTACCCATATACTCATAAATCGTAATGATGAAATAATAATTATCAATATAATACATATAATTAAATTATATAAAAATGCTGTTATCCTAGGGTGCTATTGTATACAATATGACATGTACAAAGGTAATATAATCTGTAAAAGTTATATTAGTATTATAGGTATGTAACTGCATTACTTATATTACTGTATATTACATGAAAAATAACCAACTATAGATGTTTAATTAAACAAATCTTACACACTGATGATTAATGGTAATTATATTATTATGTTTAAACTGTAAATTACAAATTATAATCAATACTGATACAAAAAATACTAAAAATATTCTTTTACAACTTTAACTATTCTTTTATAGTACTTTTAAGCTATTAATCTGCTAATTAATTTTTACTAAATACTAAAATCCTAATACCCTTAATATATAAATTACTTTTATAAAATATCGATAATAAAAATTTTTTTTAATTTTAACTAAAATAAAGTTTAACAACATCTTATCATTGTAAATGATATACTTAAATTTAGATATTTATTTATATTAAGTATCTATAGTCCATAAATAAAATTTAACGAAACCCATTATATACTTATTTATAAACCACATCTTGATTTAATATAATTTATAAAAATAAACTAATAAAATAAATGTTATAATATATTTTTGATGGCGATAAATGAATTATTTAAAATAAGTAAAATTAGATTATCAATTAACAAACAGATTAATCTAATAAGGCTAAAATACCACCAAATATTTTTAATTTAGGGAACAACTATTAATTGTTTAGTAAATTAATTAAACATTTTATAATAGGGCATCTAATCCTATTTTTAAATACAATTTACTAGAATAAAATAATTATAATAATAAACCTTAATTAAATTTTATTTTATTTTATTCAAAAAATTAAATTTTACATATATTTAAATACTAATAACCAAACTATTTTATTTGTATATTATGTTTAACCGCAACTGCTGGCACATATTTAGTTTATACTTAAATTAATAATTAAATATACATTACTTTAATATTTAACACAGAGAATTATTAAAGTATCATAATATAAAAATACGCATTATTACAGTTATTAAATAGAAGTAAAAAAAAAAAAAATAATATTTCAAAATTACTAATTTCAAAATTTTAATAAATATAGTCCTTATATTCTTTCTTCAGTATGTCTAAATGTATGTTTTTTTAAATAACCACTTGAAGAGTATTCTTTACCACAGATATAACATAAAAATGGCTTTTCTCCTGTGTGCTTTCTTTTATGAGCTTTTAAATTTGAGCTATGAGAAAAGTTTTGTTTACAGATGTTGCAATTATACGGTTTTTCCCCCGTGTGTATTCTTATATGTGTTACACAATTTGAATGATGAGAAAACTTTTTGTAGCAAATTCCACACATATATGGTTTTTCGCCGGTGTGTATTCTGGTATGTATTACACAACTTGAAAGATATGAAAATGTTTTTTCACAGAAACCACATTTATAATATTTAAAGTTTGATCTCTTGTCCAAGGTTAGACTTCTCATGAATTCAGGATGATGGCTAAAAAAAAAATTCCTAAATTAAAATATAAAGGACAATGACGACTGCATATTATTATCTACTATCTAGATCAGAGTTTTTCAAAATATGGGTCTTGAAACTCGCGGTTACGATTACTGTTATTTTAGCCTAAATTGATACCTCTATAATGTATAATAATAATGTTAAGTCTAATTAGTATAATAGAATGTATGATAGAATTTTTTTTTAGCAGGGGGTCACATACTCATTAAAGATTAAATTTATGGGTCGCTATTTCAAAAAGTTTAGGAAACACTGATATAGAGAACAGTTTGAATTATTGCATTCTGCTAGCATAACATACATGTGGTGTAAACATTTTTTGCAAGTAGGTACTTGAAGGGTATTTAGAAAGTAAATTAAGCAGTGATTATTAAAAATTATTTTTATGAGTTTATATTAATAAGTAGTTCTATTACTCTGTAATTTAAGACATTTCTATTATGTTTAATTATGTATTTATCAATTAGTTAATTTAGATCTGTTCATTAGAAATTGAATTGAGAGTTGTTTTTATATTAGCGGATACAATTTAAACAAAGTTTGTATAGCCCAAGATATTATTGATTAGTTTAACAATTGTTACATCATTACTTATATTTTATAAACATAATATACAAAATAGGTACATACTATATATATATGTATATATTATATATCTTATAAGAATATTATGTACAATGTAGCAAATTGTATGCTATAGATATATTGGTAGATAAATTTAACTGCAAAATGAAGGAATTAATCAATAGTGCGATTAAAGTTACTACAATCTCAAAAAGTAAATTTAATAAAATCAATGCAATAAAAATATGGACTTATCTCAACTAAAAATAGACTTACAATTTATGAAAAAAAAAATTAAACCCCTTTTTGATTTAAAGCTTAAACAACATTATATCAAATATAGAAACTTTTTAAACCTATTGATTAAAAAAGCTAGTTGTTTATATTACAGTAACCAATTTTTTTGTCTAAAAGCAATATGAAAACCACATGGAAATGTATAAATGAAACTTCATATTTTACTAAGAAAAAAGAACATACAATAAACAGCATAAACAGTAATATTTCAAATATTCCTTTAACTAACAAATCTAACATTTTAAATTAATTAAATGATTATATATTAATGTTGGAAAAAATATTTCTGATGAGTTATATACTAATGGTTATAATAAATTAAATTGGAATGAATTAAATAAAAATGTCCATATAAATGATTCTTTATACCTTGATCCAATAACCCCTTTTGAAGTTTCTAATTTTGTTCAGAATTCCTGAAAATTTTTCTTATTTTACAAATGATTTGTCAACTTTTTTCTTAAAAATACGGATTATACAATTTCTATATAATTATCTATTATTTTTAATTTTTCAATTGTTTCTGGCAAATATCATTCTACATATAATTATGCTATTATTGTACTATTATTCGGCCTCTTTCCAAATCAGGTGACAAAAAACTATGTGGTAACTACAGACACATTGCATTAACTTTGACCATCTCTAAAATGTTTGAAAAATGAATTAAAAAAAGATTAATGATGTTTCTAATCATGCATTTGCTAAATCAATATTTTTTCCGTTCTAATATGTCAACCACAGACCCATTAGTTAAAACCTAACATTTTATTTATAATAATTTATATAAGAATTCTAAATTGTTGGGTATCTTTCTTGACTTTAAAAAAGCGTTTGATAGTGCATGTGTTCTTTATAAAAAAAATTGATAACTGTTGCATAAGAAGTAATGCTCTTAATTGTAATTAATTTTTTTATTTCTAAGGGAAGTGACAACAAGTTCGACTAGAAGGAACTCTGAGTAATGTAAATACTAATAGTTTTTCAGTGTCTCAAGGTACTGTTCTTGGCCCAATATTATTTATCATTTATATTAATGGACTATTAAATTTAAACCTAAATTATTATGCTGATGATATGTTTGTACTTGTAAAAAATAAAGATTATAATGAATTGTTTAAAGAATCGAATATATGCCTTGATTTGATTAAGAATTGGTGTGATGATAATAATCTTTAATTTAACTTAAGTAAATGAAATATGTAATTTTTAATATTTCTAACTGTAGAAGTAGGTACGTCAAATAGTTTTGATGCTGACTTATGTACCTATACATTCAAATTATTGTAAATATTTAAATTCACCGTGTAATTGTATTACTCTAGAGAGAGTTTATAGTATTAAATACCTACTTAGGTATTATTTTTGACCACAGACTAAAATTTGTGGATCATATTTTTTCTGTCAATAACTCAATACGAAAATTATTTTATACATTTTAAATATTATGTAATATATTAGATCTAAAAACCTTTCTTAGCTTTAGCACTTTCAGTTTACTTGTATGGTTCTTTGGTCTGTGGCTGTACATACTCCAGCCATATTATTGTATTATGTACAACTATAAATTCTTTAATACAATTTATTTTAAATAAACCAAGATTTTTTTCTATAAATGTACTAACTAAATACAAATCTTAATTTTCAAACTTTTAGGCTATCACTGAATGACAAACTTTATTAAATATGTATAAAGTATAGACCATCATTAAGGAATATCAACCATCACTCATATCAACAAGATTAAAAAATAATAACAACCTGAATGTTCTTTTGAATAAAACTAATTTTGGTAATCAAAGCCCTATTATTAAAGGTGGTGTTTTCTTAAATGTATTTTTTTTATTCATTTTATTCAATGTAAAAAGCATGTAGTTAGTGTTATATCTTAGATATATTTTTTTTGTTTTATATAATTTTTCATATTTAAATTTGTTTAGTTTATTGTGATATTGTTTACATTTTGTTATATTTATTATTATAATAAAATGGAACTCAACTCATCCGCATTCAAGTTTTTAACTTATAGGATAAGTTGCAACTTATTGAATTTTATACAGGTAATTTAAAATTATGTTAATTTATTGTTGTTGCAATAAACTATTATTATATTACAATATTGGGGTATGAGTCTATGCATCTATCATATGGTAGTATGGTATCCATTCTCGACATGTTATATTGAAAAAATCGAAACTATAAAAAATATTAAATAATGAAAATAACTATGATATAATTGATATTCAAAATATGCTTAATCTCAGTCAATTATCTATTCGTCCAAAAAAGCTGACATATTCTTCCTCTCTAAATTAATTAACTTAAAAATTACATACTCCTCTCTCTTAGAACGTATTTTTTTCAATGTTCCTCAATATTATTCACGAAGTAGTCCTACTTTCTTTATCAAAACCCACCATACTAATTATGGGTATAATAATCCTTTAGAAAGGACTTTGAGGTTGGGTAATGAATCCGCACTTGATTTCTTTCATTTGTAAGTATCCATCATATTTTTTTTAGTTAACTGAAATTCTTAAATATTAAAACTTTTTAAATTACTTCTTAACTAATCATATTATTATTTAATTTTGTAGAATGTATAGGTATGTATGTATATAATTCTGTACTGAAGCCATCTTTGGCGTTTATCTATATAAATAAATAAATTATTATTATTATTATTATAGTTATTGAATTAGCCAGAATAAGAAAACTGTACAGTGAGATTTAGCTTATTTATTGTTGAATATCAAATGTCTAACACGAAGGCTCATAAAACATGTGTTTGACTTTTAAAGTGTATTTTTTTTTTTTTTAAATATAGGAAAACTGGGAAAACTTGTATTTCATTTTCAAATCTTAGATATACATAACATTTTTCTTATGGATTTCTAATTTAAAATATTTTGCAAATTTTGGTGATTTTGAAGAATTTTTAATAATTCTTATTTTAAACGTTCCAAGAACTTTATTATGGATTTATAAGCACCTTTTTTAATTTGAAGTGACAACTTATGAGAAATCTTATATTACATTTTATTTCAAACAAATATTTATTTATTGATGTTTAAAAAAACATAAACTAATATAAATCAATATTATTAAGTGCCTAGAAATGGTTATAAAATTATCAAAATATTTCGAAAATGTTATAATGTATATTGAAAGTGTCAATATAAATATTCAGTGAAAATGTATACACGAATATCTATGGTTGTTTTTTTTAGATTTACACTAAAAACTAAAATGATTTTTATGAAACAGTTTTGCATAAAATCTCAGTTTTCCCATAGTTGTTTGTTTACTTTTTCTGATGCTTTTGAAAACAACTGGGCAATTTTTAACTTTTCATATGATTTATTATTATTTATTATACTAATAATGGTTAATATATTACAGTATGGACCATAATAAGTAAAAGTACTAAAAATAAAATTAGAATGGTCAAATATTTTTAAAATAATGTATAACTATATATTTATTAATTATAATTTAGAATATACTAAAAGATTTATAAAAATCAAATTAAAAACGAGAACATAAAAAAGAAACATGCAAGCCTATGTTAAATCTTTTTTTTAAATGAAACCTAACGCTAAAAAAAAAAATCCAAAAACTCAATCATCTATTCTTGTATTAGGTATATTTTATTGTTCCTATAAAATATAGATATTTATTTTAGTGTAGGTACCTATTTAACTAGTTATTTCTATTTTCTATATTACGGTTTGGCATAGTTTTCAATTATTAAATTCTGATTTTAACTAAGTTTTTACTTATTTTTATGTTTCTGTAACAGTTTTGTTATATTTTTTATTTGAAGTGTTAAAAAAATAGGTAACTTTTAAATTAACATTAAGACCATAGTAACATAAAATAAGAAATTAAAATAACTTAGTTAACTTGTCCACATTTTGTACTATGTAAATGTTTGTATACAAGAAGGTATACAACTATTTCCATATTGTTTAATAGAATTCATTAAATACATCATTATAATATTTTTAATTGGAAAACAGAGACTTACACAAATATGCTTAATACAGAACCTAATATTTTTACATGAATAAGGAAAAGAAAAAAAGATAGTGGATTATGAATTTTGCTTATTAAATTTAAAAAAAAAAAGAAGAACACTATAGGAATGTATGTTGTAATATTATGATAAATTAATTCTTAAAAAAAATACCTACCTATAGGTTCATAGATAAAAAACCCATTGTTAAAATATGGCATTAAGACAAAAATAACATTATTAAATTTCAAATTGCACTATAATACATACTTTATTATATCTAATATAATTCTTACCTTTCTAGACTATCCTTTTGCACTGTCGTGTATATATACTCTTGTTTTATAGTTATAATGCGTATATAAGGACCCCTAAAAGAAATTACAAAAACATTAATTCATTATAATTCATTATTATGTAAGTAACTACTGTTTAAATTAGATACAATGTAAAAATTAAGTACCTAATAGGTATATCAATGATTAAAACTTATAATTTTAAAAAATGAAATAAAGTTTTATAATGTTTTATTAATTATTTATTTTTGCTTACTCTGAATTCATCTCGCAATCATTAGCAATTGTTGGTATTGGTTCCATAATGAACTCTTTGCTGAAGAAGTCCGATAGAATATGGAGATTATAAAAAGACCGCTGAAAAAGTGAAAATTATTAATCATCATTAGGTTCTCTATAAATCACGGATGAATACATTTAAGTTTGGTTTTTAGAATTGTTACTGAGTCGGTTATTCATATTATAACATATTAGTCGTATACCAAAATATAATACATATAAAGGCGGGTTTCCACTACATACGCGAGCGCATCCGTGCATACAAATCATTTGCTATGATTGGTTGTTTAGGGTAGGTTACCACACGATTACCCACATTACCATGTTGTTGGGCATAGCTGAACATTTTTCGTGTACACGGCACAAGCATAACCCGCCTTAAAATTGAAGGAGATACCTATCAAAAGTAAGGTTATCAATAATAATATGTCTACCAAATACGCCCAAATACATATAAAGTGTACGTGTAGATGTATGCGAGCATGTGTTTGTGTTGGTTGTGTTGTGGATCTCTGGATCCATAATGTAAACCACATGACATGATTGAATTACCAAAATAATTTGCTTGTCCATATTATTATTTTATTATTAAAACATTATTACTATACGCTACGCTACCTATCTACGCTACGTCAAGTACTTACAGAAAGATGAGAGTATATGACCGTCAAAAAGTTCTGTTTACACTTCATTGTTGTTTATAATACACACCTTTATTTTCATAGATAATATATCTATTATCTATGATTATTTTCCAGATTTCAAAAAATGATTTTAATCACAAGTCTGACCGGAGAACAAGTGCCGCCATTCCCCAACCGGGCATGGCAGAAACCTACGGGTGCCCAATAGAAATTCTGCCAAACACAAACACACACATGTATGATGCGAGAAAAAAAATCGCAATTCTAACGATAAAAAATATCCGAACATGATATATTATCGTATTCTGTCTAACGAGGAATCAGTTAAGTAATTTGTATAATAACAATAGTAAATTGAGTATGTGTTATGTGTACTTACTTTGTAGAAATGGAAACCAAAACGTGTTATTCGAATAGTGTGTCGTGTAAGACAGACTCCGACGATCAGACGCTACCGTTGTAGCCTGCACAACAAAAACTCGACTGCTGAAATACCGGTATCTACTGGTTAAAAAAAATTAAAATGACAACACCACCCCCCGATCGTCTCCCCACTACCCCACCAATACACATTTGTCCGCAAACCGGTCCGGGTTGGACGGCCGTAGAGTGAACCCATAGACCTATAAAAGAATGGACCGCGCATAGAGAGAGATACGTGAATCAAAGATATGTGCGAGAGAGAAAGGGCTATGTTTTAAATACCAAATACGATATAAGCAAAAATATATTAATTAGTCTTTGAAATATTTTATTTTCGTGCCATTACATAATATTATTATTATTGAACTATTGAAGTAGTTCTATTTCTGTATACCAGTATACCTGTATTATTTTGGGCAGTATTATATTTTAATCTAGTATGTCTGTAATCTGTGAATATTTCAAGATTAAGTTACTTACTAGTTACTACCACTATAATTATTATATTATACGCTATATTATATTATTATAAATTATAATGTATATTATCACAAAAGTAAGTAAAAATGGTGCTTTATTGTTTAGTTATTAATAATAGTTTATTTAAAAATTAACATTTTATGAACTTAGTCAATATATTTTTTAGTTTCATTACAAATAACTAAGTGTAACAAATAATTTATTTTACAATAGTGATAGTTGCTTAAAAATTTAACTCAATACAATAATATTTTGAAACAAAGTATTAATGCATAATAATGTATTAATATAATATAACCAATTATATTTCAAAAGTTATTGACTACTTATTGAGAATATCATATTATAATATATAATGTATATAACCTAACCTAACCGTTCTCCACGCCATGCCAATGTAAGGAGATAGTATCATGAAGGTTGTATAAATAAATAAATGTGGATCTCATAGGTTTTTTTTTATATTTTAATTCTTGGAATGTTTGGTTTTACAGCTTCTCACAGAGCACATAAGAACCATTTTAATTTTAAAATTTAAACTTTATAACTCAAAACATAAGTTTTAACCATAAAAACAAAATGCTATAACGCGGGGAATGATTTTAAAATGTTATCATTCGTTGGTTGTCGTTATCATTAAAAAAATATATAAATATTCAAGGACGATAAAATATTTTGGTTGGAATGTCTTTGGAAATTCTAACATAAGTCTGTCTCTCTCGCACACATCTTTGACTCAACCAAATACACTACTGGGATATGATATGCGCGGTCCATTCTTTTATAGGTCTATGAGTGAACCTATACTCTATTAGCCGTAAGTTGACCCACTTGCGCGCATGCATACTGAGCCGCCGGAACGTTCAGACCCCCACGTTGTAGACCGGTGGTCTGTGATTGGTCAGTTGTGTTCGGCAACCGACGGCGCTCGTCGTAGTAGGCAGCTGCCGCCGTGCATACAGAATGTTTTACAAAATAATTATTACTAATTAATCTATTAATCTATTGCGCGCGTTCGCGGAGATAGTGTCGATAGTCGATACGTCGTTAAGATAATCAAATCACTACGTATACGCCAGGTGCGGTGGCGATGATCAATACTAGCGCTCCGAAGACGCGGTGGCCTGCGCAGGCACGACCGGTTTTCGTCGAACGAGTGAGTCAACTTACGGCGAATAGAGTATACATAGGTACTCCGTATATCCCTAATATAAAGCATACATATACATCATACACACGAAAGAATGCTTTTGTCATTGCAAACACAGTATTGTAGTGATGTGTGGGGTGGGACCATAGTGGGACTCGTGCCTATAATAATGTACGACTGTAACACACGTAAATGGAACAACCGTACATTAACATTATAATAATATTTCGTACAAGTGTGTTTTCAGGATGTTTTCAAAATACGTTATTACAAAACTGACATTGTATTATTACATTTATTTTGGATGCTGGCTTTATTATTTAATATCTATGTTCTTTAACTAATTTTAAATGTACTTTTTATTCATAATTGTTGAGCTATATTAGTGTACTCTTAAAGTTATAATAAAAGAAAAAAAACTGTCCTCTACTTTAAAATCATTAAAATCGTCTTAACGTTGTCTTGCTGCAGTGACACCGACGGGATTTTTTTTAACCTTACTGTTCTCTCGCAGTTATCGCTGTGCATTCGGTGCCTTTGTGAACCGGCCAAGCTGTCACCTGCCCTCGACTAGTATGGTAAGGCGGTATGGCTATTGGCACGTACCAAACATCAGATTTTTTATCCACCTAAAATTACCATACGTTAAATAAAAACGGATCTATTGTGCGACAGGCTTCGTGCAGATTTAATAGAATATTATAGTTCAACAATTTATCAAATCAAAAAAATATTTTTTTTTTAAGATCGTCGTTATCGAACCACACCCCCTTTAACACCATACTGAGGACAAACAATTATCCACATTACTATCATAATAAAGGGGTTCCAGGGAATCATGTTCTAAGGAGTAATATTTAGGCAATTCATATGACATGTATGTCTATGTGTGAGTGGTAAATGAACATAAGCGTTTTTCCGAGAATTGCTATCGAGCAACCAACAACGAATGCAACTCTGTGAATGAATTTTTCCATTTTTATGAACTAATTTGTTTAATTCAAGCAAACCAAAAATCATTTAGGATAATGAGTCACCTCCTCGTGGTGTCCTTTGTTTAATGCTAAATGAAAAAATAAAATATTTGTATTAGGCGCAATTTATTACATAGATATTTGTACCTGAAAAATACCGGGTGCAATTTCTCTACACTGGGCGCAATTTACATTTGTACAATTAAACATATTTTCTGAAGTCATATTGTGCTTTCTCATGGGTTCCTTAAATTACTTATGGAGGAAAATATTTCTATAAAAATGATAATAATACAAGTATACAACACAATATCACCGAATATAATGTATGAAATATTAATGAATGTATCATAAAGAGTATGAATACGAATGATATATAATTATAATATATAAAATAATATATTATACCGAATGATAAAATTTAGGACGAGTATAGTTAACGAATTATAAGTAATTAAAGTATAAATGACGCGAATGGAGAGGTACGTGGTTACGGCACAAATGTTGTTAATTCGCACAGCAAAACTTTAAATAATATTTATAAAATTATAACTCATAAAAAAAACTCAACTTAAAATTGATATTTATGTATAGAAATACTTAAAAATATTATTCTTTCGAAGATAATATTAAAATTTAAAAACTCCATGTTGTATTTCAAAAAATCATAAAACATAAAAAAATATAAGGATAAAAAATATTAAACAAAACATTTTTTAACGAAATCATTGTTTTTCGTAACGACTTAAGATCATATTGTAAAAAATATTTTCAAAACATTTATACTTTTTAAGTACGCCCTGTCCTACTTTAAATGAATCACTCGGTATATTATATATATTGTACATGAATATACTATAAGTTTAAAGGACGCGCGCATCGGTGGTATGGGAAACTGTCTAATAATTGGGTCGACGGAGTAGCGTTAGGCGATCCAAGGCCTCCATAGTTAATTCTTTGGTGCACTAATCGTTTCGTCTGAAGTCCAAAGGAAGTTAGCAGTGGCACTAGAAAGAGTAGCAACGAACAGCATAATATTTCACTAGTGTTTGTAAGTTATAAATGCTTATTTCTTTATTCCGTTATCGGCTTATACATTTGAATATCTACTCTCAATATTTTAATATGTTTGACTTTTTTCCTACATAGTTTGGTATGTCGTGGCAAAATAACATGCAGAACTTATTAGTTACTTACCTAATATTTGTATTATCTCGTTAAATTAATTGTTTTCATAATATAATTAAATAAACCTTATAGACTTAAAATAAATTTTGTTAAGTAAAAATTGTTTTAAATTCATTGCGATAGTTGTATTAATTTTAAATTATGTGAGTTTTCTTATTTTTTAATTTTTTTTCCCGTTGTTTTTACCAACAGTTAATTGGTAAAAAGATGTAATACAAGGTTCCACATAAGTTGTTTTTAGTTGAAATTAAAAAAAAGTTGAGCCTAAATCTACAATATTTTTAGTTGTAAAGTAATAAATTGTAATTTATATAATAATAGAATAATATTGGATATACACAATATAATATAATAATACATTATTATACATATGTTAATGCCTATACCAGGGATGGCCAACCTTTTTGTACCAGAGTGTCAAATAAAAATTTTGGTTGGATTTTGTTTTCCCTGCGTGTCAATTAGTTCGATAACCCTTCATTTTTTTTTCAAAAATTTTAATACTATCAAACTTTTACTCATTCATGTGTGTCACTAAAATAGTGCACGAGTATCACTCTCTGACACGCGTGTCATAGGTTCGCCATCTCTGGCCTATACGAATCATGGATAATGGATATTAAACAAAACAGTTGTTAAAGCCTTATAGAAGAAAAAAATCTAACAAATGGGTACCTAATTATTCTTCCAGTGTCATATACATAGTATTAAGTTTATACACATTTGAATACTTAGGTACATTATTATTGTAATTTTCTAATAATAACAAAATACTTTTCTGAGTCATTTTTTATGAAATTAGTGTGTACAATTAATCGGAAGGTTCAGGTATTCAATATATCACAAAAAGCTTAGCTATTTATGACTTATATTTGATTATTTAGCCCATGACTAATATGATAACATTAACGTTATATTAAAATGGTGCGTACCTACCCTTAATCATTTTGGACCATTTAGGTATAAGTGAAGATTGTGTGATAAAATGATTTAAATTATTAAATTATAAATCATTATTTATCATGACATAAAATTTTGATTTTTTCGAGTTTTATGCATTTCGCGAAAAGTGACACCACAAATTATTTAGAATTTATCAGTTTGTTGTAATTAAATAAATTCAAACGTCCTGGTGGCGCTGGTGCCTATTTGAAAACAAGGCGCCTCGATTGCCTCAACTTCAAATGTTGTGGACACGTTTGGTTGTAATGCGTAATATATTATACATCTATAAATGTATCTGTGTACTATTGTCTATTACTATAATGATCTCACGAACACGATTTGGACGTTCGCTATCTTAAAATAAATAGGTAGCATGGTGTTCAAATAATGTATTGTATAGGTATAATAAAAATTAAATCAAATTAATAATACATTTTAATTGACCCTCCTTACAAAATCTTCAAAAAGCGATAAATGTATATATTAGCTTTAAAAAGTGTTTTTGTAATAAATATAAATTAT